TGTTTTTGGTTGACCAAAAATATTTAAAAACCCTTTTAACAAGCACACTCTTTGAGATTAAATGTGTTGCCAATTTAAAGTCCTTTCATACTTGATCATTGTGCTCCGATAGGGAACCAACTAAACGTTTTACCCTGCTGGTCTTATTTATCCCAGTTTTAGGTGGGTTTCCTGGGCAGGTTAGGGAATTTTATTCTGAGGAGCTCTCGGCATAATGAATAAAATACCTTGTCTAATAAAGTCTGTGTCCAGTTTATTCAGGGATGTTTCTGAAGACCCCCTAAAACATAAAAAAATTTGAACTGATGAAGCCTCTTGGATGAGAGGCCAAACGTCTTCTAGAAAACGTCATATCCAGTTCCCTAATTGAACTTTCCAAGCTTGAACATGACCTGGATGATGAGTACAAGTGAAATACTTGGGGAATAGCAAATAAAACAAGCCTTTTCAGCTATGTAGGAGACAGATAGATGACCAAGTCAGTGGCTTTTCAGATATATCACTGTTTATTTTCCTCTAATGTTGAAGTTTTCCCCAAATAATTGATCTTTGTGCTTCTTTGTGTATCTCTACCCTCAGCATCGAAAGAGCAAACTGAGCTATCCCCCAGTCTGAATGCTACTAGTTAGAACCATTCCTTCTGCATCAGAAGTGTGTTTTTGGATATTTTTTGTTCTTTTTTAAATTTGATTTTTTTACACCAAGCTCCATAGAGCTTGTAGGGTCACGTTTTTACTTCTCACAAACATTTAATTCCGTCCGGTGCCCAGAAAAAAAAATTAGGGTGTCATGTTTCCGCCTGTCCTGCAGAGGGCGCCACGGAGCCTTTAACGGTCCGAACCTTCCGGAATCAGAGGGAGAGTTAGACGGTCCTAACCGTTTGTTTTGGTTAAAGGAGGGAGGCAAACCGTCGATGTGATGAAAAGTGAGCAGACTCCCAGTTTCCAGGTGATGAGGCTCTCCCCAACATGGAAACGAAACGTCCGGATCTAGTGAACGCTGTTCCGCCTTATGGACACGTGATATGCAGCGAAAAATGGCGGGATTCTCCACTTATTCAAGGCCTGAAAGGTGAGGAACTGTTCTCCGAAAGTAGTTTAGGGAGCCAAACCAGTTGGTTGATTCTGGTCCATCCAACCAATAAAGAATATCCAGAAGGACATTTGATGGGTCTTTACTGGAGTAAAAACGACGTCCGTGTCATTTAAAATGTCTCCGGTAGAGAGATGTATAAAGTACTGGAGTGGAGGAGTGGAATATAAGTACAAGTAATATATAAAAAAAATTGACTTGAGTAAAAATTGAAGTGTTCTTTCAACACAATACTTAAGTGGAAGTACTACTTTTTAAAAATGTTATTCAAGTATTGCAAGGAGAAGTATTTAAAAAATTGCTACTCAAGTATTGAAAGTATAAGTAAAAGTACAAGTAGTGTTTATTTAAAAAAAGGCAGTCAAAAGTTTGATAGATATTATTTATATTATTTCAAACGTGTGAAAAGTTACAAAAAACAGAAAAAAAACACAAATAAAACATCTCCAAAGGCCAGAGGGGCGAGTTAAGCCTGGTGGTAAAACCTTAAGATGGAACAGTCCAGAAGCATCAACATGAGGAATCAAGCTGTTCCAATCTTCTTCTCAAAATGGCCGACTTGGATGTGGGTGTTTTGTGCAGATGGAGACGTGCGGGTCCTGTTCGAGGCGGATCTGGGCGTGGCCGACCTGCTCCTGCCCGGCCGCAGCAGTGTCCTGTTCCTGTCCGAGGCCGAGGTGGTGGGGGGGGGCTACCGGAGGAGGGCGGTCCGATACCGTAACGTACGCACAAACGCCGAACATCTGGCTGCAGGAGGCCAGGGAGGGATGTCCAACCCCGCCCACATCCAAATCGGCCATTTTGATTAGGTCACCGATAGGAAGATCCAAGGAAAGAACATCATAATTGCTTCATGGCAATATAGACATTAATTTAAGAAGTAGTCAGGGATAGGGTTAGGGTTAGGGAAGACAAACAATGTCCTGACCCTAACCCTCACCTTGGGTTAGGGTCAGGGTTAGGGGTTAGGGTCAGGGTTAGGGGTCAGGGTTTGGTTTAGCGTTAGGATAAGGGATAGGTTTAGGGTTATGGTCAGGGTTAGGGATAGGGTCAGGGTTCGGTTTAGCGTTAGGATCAGGAATAGGTTTAGGGTTATGGTCAGGGTCAGGGTCAGGGTTAAGTTTAGGGTTATGGTCAGGGCAAGGGTCAGGGTTAGGTTTAGGGTTATGGTTATAGTCAGGGTTAGGGTGAGAACATCATTTATCTTCCGATTTCATATAGACAGTAAACTTTCATTTCCACCTCAGAAAGCTGCTAGTCACTTGACCTAATCAAAATGGCCGACTCGTATATGGGAGGCGTTGGCTATCCCCCCCCCCCCCGCCCCCTCTCTAACCCTAACCCTAACCCTCACCCAGGCGCGGGGGGGGGCCTGCAGCAGCTGGTGCTGGTTCAGCGGGGCCCTCTCAGCCTGCAGGAGTTCCCGGGCCTGCAGCGGTTCGTGGTTCTGGACCTGGGCCTGGCCCTGCTGCCCGTCGCCGGGGCAACCGAGGCCGCGCAGCTCATCGCTCAGATGGTAGGCGTCTAACGTCCCCACGATTAGCCTCCTCCTCTGCTTTGGATGATTTCCTTCTTTAGAAATTAGAAATGAGAAACAGCCACTGACTCATTTTTCTAAAAATAATTTGAGAGAGTTTCAGGCTCCACGTGAACGACTACCTCGCCTTTTTTTTGCTTTTTTTTTTCTAACTACTGATGCTTTCAAGTCCTTTTTTTCTTTTAGAAACATAATTCACTCGTTGCGTTAAAATAATAAAAATGCTCTATTTATAGTCGGAAAAGCTCTGCTCAATACACACACATAATTTTTTTTTATTTATTACAAGATGCAGATTTATTTGT